CCCATCTAGACCTCTAGACCAAGTGTAGTTCCAGCGAGTGCAAGTCTACGTCAAGTATCATTCACATGCAGTTCAGATGTAGTCCAAGTGTAGTTGAAGTGAAGTTCAAGTGTGGTTCGGGGGCGGTGGAGGCCTGCGCAATCAAGTGTAATCCCAACGTAGTTTAATTTTAGAGGGTGTAGTCCACGTGTCGTTCAAAAGCGGCTCAGGTGAAGTCGTTTCTGCTCAGGTGTAGTTCGCGTGGCATCCAAATGTAGTTCTTATGTTTTCCAGGTGTTGCTCGCATGTGACCCTAGGTGTATTCCAAGGGTAATTCAAGTGCGGTTCAAGTGAAGTTCCACTGTCGTTCAAGTGCGGCACACTTGTGTTCCATGTGGTGAGGGTGCAGTTCGAATAAGATTCAAACGTGGCTCACATGTAGTTCAAGTTCTCTCATGTGTAGTGCACGCGCAGTCCTTGTAGCTCTAGTGGAGTTCAAGTGTAGTTCAAGTGCGTTCCAGGCGTAGCTCATGTGCAGGTCAAGCGTGGTTCGAACGAGATTCAAGCGCAACGCAAGCGCAGTTCAACTGCACTTCGACTGCAGCGCGCGGCGAGACGCCGCGTGGCACCGCGCGGCGCACAGGGGCACGAAGCGAATTCCGATTCGGGGGGCGTTGCCCGCAGCCCCGCGCGCAACCGCGCCGCGCGGCGCAATGCGGCGCCGCGAGAAACAGCGAGCGCTGTCGTGGAAAGTCCTTGACGCGACGCAAGTGAGCACGAGTTGTCCATGGCTCGCGCGCGTGATCATGAGAAACAAGCGGCAATGCGACGCTGCTCCGCAGCGGCGGCGCAGCGGCTCTCGCGCGCGAGCGCTTCTAGTGGGGCTCCGCGCTCCAATCTCGCATTCGGCGGCGGCGGTTTCCGCGCAGCCATCCGCCAAGAAGCTGCTTCGACATTGCCCGTGCCCGCGTGGCAGGTTTGCTCGGGCAAGCGCGCGTCGTTCTATCGCAGTCCTATCACGGCGCGAAGAGTGGCGCCGCGCGACGCGGGTAGACGAACGCGCTCGCAGGTGGCATGCGAAACAGCTGCTGATGCCTCCGAATGATAGGGCGCGGGTACTTCCCTGCGCTTCGGCGGCAGATCTGCCATTCTTGGCGCAATTCCATTGCATCGGCGGAAGCGCGCGCAAATCCGCTATGATGGATGCAAACGCGCGCGCTGTCTCTGCGCATTCGACAAAAAACGCGAGCAGCGTCTCCGCGCCTGCCCAAGTCTCGCCGGCCCGCCCAGGGGCCGCGGGGCTACTTCTGGCGCCCCGGTGCGCCGAGGGCGGCCGCGTCGAGGGGCTGGCATAACCGCGACGTTTTTAAGGTGCGCGGCGCGCGAACCGCGCCACCGTGGACCCCGCCGGGGTCGCCCCCCGCGCCGGCGGAGCTCAAGCCCGCGGAGAGAAGTCCCAAATAGATGCACCCGACTGGTCTTACAGGCAGCAGTGGGCCGAAGGGCAGGCGTCGCATTCTGCCCCAGCGGGGGCGGCGCCCAACGGGCTCTGGACCATCGCCTCAGAGCAGGGGGTCGAGCTGCCAAAGCGAGCAAGACTGCGGCGAGGGTCGGGTCGGCGACGCGCGCGATGGGCGCGGCTCGCGCGGTCTTCGGGGCCCATTCCACGCCGGTGGATTACTTCGAATCGGTGGGGGGTCGGGTGACCGAACAGATCGCCTTGGAAAAGGCCTGCCCGAGCTTCGCAGAGGCGGAGCTCCTCTCCTGCTGCGCAACGGCGACTGCGGAGGGATGAAGCTCGCGACGGGCGAGGAGGACTCAGAGCTGGACGCGGCGTAGGCCAGGCGCGCGAGTTCCTGGACGGGCATGGGAGGGCAGTCCACGAGGAGGGCGCGGGGGGGCGACTTCGGCGGGGTCTGGGCCTTTCGCTCACCAGTCGCCCTGAACGCCCAGTGGATCTTCGGCGCTGGTGTGTTGGGCGTGGGGCGCGCCGGCATGCCGACCAGCTTTCGCGATGCTGGATGCGCGCTGCCAATGAGTCAGTGCCTATCGTGGGGACCGCGCGGAGGATTTTTAAGTGCTCGCGACCGCCGTCAAGGACGAGCTGAAGGCGCTTTCGTCGCGCGCAGTTTTCGTCCGAGTCGAACCTGGAGCTGTCGTGGCACGCGACGGTCGACATGGCGCGCGCGCTCGGCGAGAGTTTCGCGGCGATGGCGACGAAGTACAACGTGAGCGAGATCAGACGGGAGCTGGCGAGGGACGCGGGGCAATTATGGCAGACCGGGGTGGAGGAGGAACGGGAATCGAGGAGGCGGAGTCACGCGGGCTGGAGGGGGGCGAGATGATGCATCCAAAGGACGGGCGCCCTGGGGTGCTCGGGCTGGGACACGGCGCGGTGGACCGCAAGGGGGCTGCGGGTCCTTTCGTGAGGACCTGGGTGGATGCCCTGCGCTTGGAGGAGCTGGCCGAAATGGGCGTGGTCGAGAGGCTGCTCAGCCGACTGAGGAGGCGCCGGTACTGGCTCGCTCCCGCGACCTTGTCTCTGGGCGTCTTCTTGGACGAGAAGCACAAAGAAGAATGTCGCCCTGGGCCCCGGGGGCTCGGGGATCTCAGCGAGGGGGCGCTTCAAAGAATCAGCGGGGCAACTACTGGGCGCAGGTGGTCATGGAGGTGTTTCGGCTGGTGACGCGGGGGGTCATTATCCTTGGGCCTATCATGCTGGACGGCCTGCTGTGGGGACCCTGGGAAGGCTTGCGTAGCTCGGCGGGGGGCCTGCTCCGCGGCCAGCTGTCCGCAACTGGGGAACGACTGGCTCATCTGAAGGCAGCTGGTGCCGCGAGGTGCTCATGTGCGTCTACGACGGGGGCGGCCACGAGCCGAGAGCGCCCGAAGGCAGATGATGCCGATCGGGGCGTTTTGGGCGGACGAGAAGAGGCGGTGCGAGCTTGTTCGTGGACGACGAGAAGGGGGCGGAGGGGCACAGCGACGTGTTGGAGATGCAGTGCGCGGTCAGTGTGCTACACAAACTTGTCACGATCATCCCGATGCTGGTGGACGCACGTCGTGATCATGACCTGTTCGGTGGTATCCGTGGGGGTGAAATGGAAAGTCGTCGGCTACGGCGTTGTTGAGGCTTGCTCGAGTGGCGTGTTGCATTGCGCTGGTCCTGGGCAACAGGGGCTTCAGTGGGACATTGTGGGTGAGCCGAGTCGTGGAGTCGACGTCGGAGCAGCGGAGGCGACGAAGGACGCACACATAATGAAATTGACACCGAAGTCGGCCAGGCCGCTCTTGAAGCAGATGATTTGGCCAGCACGGTGTTGCGCAGCGGGGCGATCCCATGGTGGATCATAGCACTGGTGACGTTGCAGGTCGTGGAAAGAGTGCGACGGAGGGAGCGACCACCACCCTTGCAGAAGCGTGGAGCTCGCCCTGGGGATCAAGCCACGCAAGATACGCAGCGCTGGAACAACCGTCTGGTGGTCCATGCGGTGGACGACCCCACCAATATCGCATACGAGCGAGAGGTGCGCGCCTTCCCCATCGATTGCAAGAGGGGCGAGGTGGCCTTCGGGTCGGTGGCTGAACGGGACAAGGCGCTGGGCAACTACATCAGCAACATGTGCTAGTGGCGATGGGGACAACTACACGCGTGCACCGTTGGTGCACAAAGGTTCCATGTGCAGATTCAAGCACCGACAACACTGCGTGCATAAAAGACGTGGGAGCGAATGCCGTCCAGAAGAGAAGGACATCCAATCCCGTTTCAGGCGATGGCAGTTGTGGTGACGAACAAGTTTCAGGCAGGCCATCGACTGGAGGCGACAAAATACAGCGTGCAGTTGCACGGGTGGCTACACAAACAAGATTGGGAGATGCAAGGAGATGCTGCGAGTAATTACGGCATGTGAGCTTCACACCAGACGGATGAATAGGCTTGCGTTTGGGTGACCATACCATCGGACAGACGACGAAGACGGGCGCCAACCAGGGAGCCGTACTCGAATGGGCGGTGTCGAACAATATCATGCAAGTGCTGGTTCAAGATCGTGAGCCCAATGATCGGCTTTTCTTATTCACTCCAGTTGCTTTTCGGAAAGTGTGGAGTCAAATTCTGAAGAAGGTAGTTTGGAGACGATGGGGCCTCCGCATGGCATGCGCCACGCGGCGGCAGCGAGATTTGTAGCGCCCAATGGTGACCTTGAGACGGCGCGTAGCCGTGGAAGGTGGGCCAAAACGTCAGCGCTCCAAAATTATACGAAGTGTCACGTGCTGGCTGAGAAGATGTCAAAGCTGGACGGTCGTCAGCTCGGCCAGGGCGCCAGGGCACCAATGTTGGAGCAGACCAGTGCAGTCAGTGCATGATGCCACCGTAGCGGCCTTGGAACAGGGGCACCGCTAAGGACATGTTTTCGAGCTTGTCCCTCGAACGCACGCCGACGCGAGCAACCCGTGTCCGTGTCTGGGGTTGCCCAATTCTGTCTTCTCATCCTTCCCATTCACCTCCACCATACCAAGAAGTCCGAGAGCCTAGCCTGGAGAGGGATGGGGGGGTCATTGGGGGCCCTTTTGCCAGTTGCCCGTGCTGGGCTTCTCCTGTTAGAATGTTCGTGGGCCTTTGGCAACTGGACCCTGTCAGGTTCGACTGGAAGGGGTCGACAATGATTGGTGTTCCCTGGGCCTATCAGTTCGGGGGGCCTCAGAGGCAGCAGCTCGTGTAGCGAGGGGTGGAACGCCCTTTTAGCACTACCTCTGTGGGAAAAAGATGTGCGATCGCTCTCTACCGCTGCTGATATATCAGGCGCTACGCGCTCGGCCTCCTCGGTACTATTCGGCCGTCGTTCGGGGCATTCCGCCTGCACCTCTCAAGCTCGAGGGTTCTCAACCCCTCTCCAAGAATGGCTCTGAGAGGATGGTCTGTGTAAGCGATGTTTTTGCAACGTCGGATCTCGGGGGGTGGGATATGTTTCCCGAGCACGTCGCAAGCCACGCCTCGCTCTGGACTCCGGCCCGTGGACTGATCATTCACCCCTGATCGCCTGTTTGATGCTGCTGGCACCTGGGACGGGCTGCGGAGGAACAAGCTGGAAGCAGAAGCAAAACTGTGGGCACCCCGCAACGCTGAAAGGTCTGGGTCCCCCCTGACTGGGGGGGGGGGGGGGGGGGGCGCTAGGAGGGGACGGGCTCAGGGAGGGAAGCGTCGAGCTGGAATCGGCGATGCATCGCCGATAGATCGGCGATAGGCCCCCGATAGCGACTCCCCACGTTCCTGGGCGGGGTGGGCTATCGGGCCCCTGTCGGCGACGAATGGGCGATGGGGGGTCGACGCCCTCTGAGCCTATCCCCCCCTAACGTGCCCCTGAACAAAGTCTGGCCCCTGGACGCGCCCAGAGGGGAATGCAGAGGGGGCTGGCCTTCCCAGAAGGTCTTTGGCCTTTTGAGAAACTGACTGAGCCCCCTCTTAAGCCACAGGGATTCTCAGGAGGCCAGGGTGCTTCTGAGAAGCCCCGCCACCTTCTGAGAACGCCTGCCCCCTCTCACTTCCCCCCCCCCAGCACGCCTCCAGACAAATGCCTGCCCCTGATGGGCGCTCGGGCGTGTGGGAAAATCAGGCCAGGCAAACATGGAAAATTGCCTGCGACACAGAACAGCGCACAGCTGGAATGACGACGAGCGTCAGGCGCCTGTTGCATGTTATACACCCCAAAGCACACACACAGAGGGCTCGGCGCGGACACGGAGCAGCTCCCGCCGTCGAACTGGCTCCCCAGACATGAAGCCGTCTTGATTTCTGCCATGCGGGGTCTCCAAGAGTCTTTACGCCAGGTTAGTTTCCATCGGCAAATTGCAGCGTGTCTGTCTCCAAGAGCCTCGACCCTTGCCTTAGGGCCCATGTTTTATCCCAAGTCGCTTCTTCACGGGCCTGGGGTCTGGCGAAGGCCCCCAGAGGCCGAAGACAAGGACTTACATTCGTGCATTCTTGTACCAAGCATCGTGGCCAGACCAAATACCCTCGGGCTCCCCGTTTCCCCTCTGGGACTCATTTGATGATGTGTTTCTTCTCCCTCGCTTGTTTCTGCAACTTTTGAGGCCCTCTAGAGCCCTAGCGAGACGCGACTCAGGAGATAACGCCGCACTTAATGTTCTGATACGCTGGAGTCTGTCTTTGGAGTGCCATGTGGGATCTGCTCTAGACCAGGACACAGGGACATTCTGTAGACGGGGCTACCCTGACTCCGTCCCTGCACGGCACCGGGCGCAACGGCCGCGTTGGCTAAAGACGCACACACCCCACATGTATCGACGTACGCATCGCCTCCCAATGCGTCCATAGACGCTTGTAGCTGGAAGGTGAGAGCGGTGCTTGCCATATGCCCCAGGCACCGGCTTGCTAGAAGCAGGTATAGATTTTGCCCTCCCAGTCTGGCCCCCTCTCTCGAGGTGCGCCCCGCGCCCTGGCCTGCTCGGGCGGTTGCCCCGCTGCCCAGCGTGGTCGCCGCGGTCGCCGCCGTCGTCGTGGTCGTCGCAATCGGCGCGTCGGGCGCCCTCGGTCCGTCCCTGTCCTCTTCTGGGGGCCCGCCACGCTCAGGCCGCCCAAAGCACGGCTCCTGCGGGCTCCGGCGCCCGCGTCGGCCCCGCGCGCGGCCCGCCGCGCCGCAGCTCGAGGAAACCCCGAAGGGTTGCCTCGTCCAGCCAGGCCGCCGCCGCGTCGAGGTAGGCCTGCAGGCCGTCCCTGCGCCGCTGCTCGAAGCCGCTCGCGCCCAACTTGTGCCGCAGGCCGAAGACGCCTGGCTCCGGGAGCTGGGGCATGGCCGAGTGGAGAGCCGGGCTCCTCTCCCGGAGAGTCTCGTCGAAGGCCCTGAAGTCGCTGTACCTCTTCGTGTACGTCACGGGGCCCGCGGAGCCGAAGAGCCTGATGCGGTAGAAGGTGGTCCCGTTCTGTATGAACGTGCTCTCGATCAGGGCTCTCAGCCCAGCACGGTTCTCATTCTCCCCGCCGGCCTCGGAGGCTGCCGCCGAGGTCAGTCGAAGAACCTCGCCCTCGCCCGCCAAGGCTTCCCCTCCTGCACCATACACCTCGAAGAGTTGATCCCTCAGTTTCGCCTTCTCCCGCTGAGGGCCAGGCTCGTCTACCTGCTTCGGCACTTCTCGGGCCGCGAGCGGGTGACTCACGGGAGTTCGCTGTGCCGTCGGCGTGGCATCGGTTGCAGCCCCCGTCCCAACCGCCGTCGGCGGAAGGTCAGGAACAATATCCGTCGGCAAACTGTCAGGAGCGGCCCCCGCCCCAACCGCCGTCGGCGGGGTGTCCGGAGCAGCATCCGCCGCAGCTGCCGTCGGCGGGGCGTCGGGAGCAGCCTCCACCCCAGCAAATGTCGGCAAACCGTCGGAACCAGCCTCCGCCACAGCCGCCGTCGGCGGGGTGTCGGTGGTAGCCCTCAACCCAGCCGTTGTCGGCGGGGCGTCGTGGGAGGCATCCGTCGCAGCCGCCGTTGGCGGGGTGTCGAAAGCTGCCTCCGCCCCAGCCGCCGTCAGCGCGGTGTCGGGAGCAGCCCCCGCTGCAGCGGCCATCGACGGCGTGTCGTGAGCAGCATCCACCGCAGCCGCCGTCGGCGGGGCGTCGGGAGCAGACTCCGCCCAAGCAGTTGTCGGTAAACCGTCGGGAGCAGCCTCCGCCGCACCCGCCGTCGGCGGGGCACCGATGGCAGCCTTCAACCTAGCCGTTGTCAGCGGGGCGTCCGGAGAAACATCCGCCGCAGCCGCAGTAGGCGGCGTGTCGAAAGCTGCCTCCGCCCCAACCGCCGTCGGCGGGGTGTCTGGAGCAGCATCCGCCGCAGCCGTTGTCGGCAAAACGTCGGGAGCAGCCTCCGCCCCAGCCGCCGTCAGCGGGGCGTCGGGAGCAACCTCCGCAGCAGCCGTTGTCGGCAAACCGTCGGGAGCAGCCTCTTCCGCAACCGCCGTCGGGTTGGTGTCGGTGGCAGCCTCCACCCCCGCCGTTGTCGGCGGGGCGTCGGGAGAGGCATCCGCCGCAGCCGCCGTCGGCGGGGTGTCGGGAGCAACATCCGTCCGAGCCTCTCTTTGGAAGTTCTCCTGCACGAGCGGCTCCCACCTCTCCTTGGCCTGGCGCAGCCTCTCGCGAAGCCCCCAGTCCGAGAGCACCCCCTCCACCGAGTCGCAGGACTTCGCGCACCTCCCGAGGCGCTCTTTTGCTGTCGACAGGTGCTCCCCGGCGTGGCAGGCGCCCTCGACACCCAAGCCCTGCTGAGCGACTGCGAGCAGGGCCCTCGTTCGCGCAATCTTGTCGCACTCCCCGCCGAACTCCTGCAGCAAGGCCTCTCGGCCTGGGTCCGAGATCCCCAGCAGCGCCTGCATCTTCCTGGGAAAACTGAAAGATACCAATACAGCTGCTCCCCCGACCTCTCCAAGAGTGCGTTCTGACTATGCTTTTAAGGCGGATCCAGCGGTGGCGACGAGGGCCTCCCAGGAGGCCCATGAAACGGAAAACGAGGGAAGGGTAGCAGTATGGGTACATGTTCATCCTCTGACTTCCCGCTTGCGGCGTCAAAGGGCTCGAGCAGTGCCATGGAGATCTTTCTGAAGCGGACCGTGCCCTGGGCGGGGTCCAGCGGTGCCAGCAGATCCCGGCCCAGCCTCGTGTTGTTTATTTTCTATTTTCGCTTTTTCTTTAAGGAATCCCGTCTCAGCCTCTGGAAGAAGATAAATAATCAACTGCACATGCGTACACTTTCGAAGTTCCACGCGGCTTCCTTGGATCGTCGCTGGAAGCGCGCGGAGCGCGCCCCAGGGCGGCGCCAGAGGAGGCGCCGCCAGGGGAGCGCGGCGCAGATCCAAGCAACCCACAAAGAGCTCCGACATTGTATGCTTGTGCAAGTGTTTCTTCTTCGAGTTCCATAAGATCCAGACCCAGCCTCCTGTTCTGGTCCTGCAGGACCTCAGAGAAGCTCATGACACGACTCTCGATCACCCGCAGCAGCTGCTCGTAGGGCTGGTCGCCGAGAACGTTGGCCTCTCGCCCCAGCGGGGCCACGGACCTGTCGGAGAGGATCCTGGAGGGCGAGACGAACGGAGGGGTCAGGAAAGGGGTGTGAGAGGATCGGCCCCCAGATGCCTTCTCCCTTCTGAAGGCTCCGCGGGCCTCCAAAGGCGTACCAGAAACTCCAGGGGGCTCCCGAATCTGTCAACCTCTGATGACCTCCATGGAACCCCCGGGATTTCCTCTGAGGGGGAACTCTTGGGTCGGGGGAGTCCGGCTCAGGTGGGTGGGGGGGGGGGGGGCAATATCGAACTCGAATCGGCGATATATGGTCCAGGGCTTGGCCCCCCCCCCCCCAATGCTGATGCCATTGGCCCCCCCCCCGCGCGATGGTCCCCCCCGCCCCCCCCTGTGGGCGTGGCGTGGTGCTGCGCTGCGGTGCCCCCCCCCCCCCCCTGTGGATGTGGTGTGGTGCTGTGGTGGTTCAGAGGTGGGCGTGGCGTGGTGCTGCGCTGCGGTGCCCCCCTCCCCCCCCCTGTGGATGTGGTGTGGTGCTGTGGTGGTTCAGAGGTCGTCGTCGTCGTCGTCATCGTCGTCGTCGTCCTCGTCGTCCTCGTCGTCGTCGTCGTCGTCGTCGTCGTCGTCGTCGTCGTCATCGTCGTCGTCGTCGTCATCGTCGTCGTCGCCGTCGTCATCGTCGTCATCGTCGTCGTCGTCGCCGCCGCCGCCGCCGGCGTCGTCGCCGCCGCAGCGGTCGTCGTCGTCGTCGTGGTCGTCGTCGTCGTCGTCGTCGTCGTCGTCGTCGTCGCCGTCGTCGTAGTCGTCGCCGTCGTCGTCGTCGTCGTCGTCGTCGTCGTCGTCGTCGTCTCTGGGACCATACCATCTGGGGGGTGGAAGGGGGAAGGGCCCGAGGAATCCTGGGACCATACCATCTGGGGGGGGGGGGCCCGTGGGCCCGGAGCCCGGGACCAGATATCGCCGATAGATCGGCGAGGAGCGCCCGAGGGCGAATCCGCACAATCCTGAGCGAGGTGGGCGATCGGGCCCCTATGCATCAGAAAAGGGCGATTGGGGGTCGACGCAGTCTCCCCTGAGCCCATCCTCCCCCAAACGTTGCCCCTGATCCAAGGACGCTGGTTCTCCAGGAACTCCCTGGCGACCCGCGCGACCGTGTGTGGGCTGCGGGGCCGTTGCCACCTACATGCAGCAACCTCTCTACCCCTCCTTGTGAACACCTCCGCTCCCCTGGGGCCAGACGCAATGAAAGCCCGAAGCACCGTGGAGAAAGCCACGACCCGAGCTCTCGACCCGTATGTCGGATCTTCGAGGGGCCCTTGCCCTTGTCTGTCTCATCGCGCCGCTATCCGCGTCGAATCCGCGTCGGTTCCGCCTCGACTCCACGCCGAATCTGAGTAGACTCCACTCGAATCCACGCCGAGCCAGCGTCGGATGCAAGACAAGACAGCACCTTGCAGGACAGGGCAAGGCTTCCCGAAAGTGCAGCGCAGCGATCCGATCTTTCCGTGCCATCTTTCGAACTGCGGCCGATCGGTGGTTAGTGTTTTGTTTTGTTCACGACGCTCGAACCTTGGTGCTTTGGGCGCCCGATCCTTGAGACCCGCGGGTGGCTATCGTCACCGAGCGCCGAGGGAGCCTTGGAGGCCCGCGGTGGGCCGCCGTCGCTCATGGATCGGCGCGTGACAGGGCACCCGCGCGCTGGTGGCTTCAAGCGCGACCGCTCCAGCACTGCATCTTTACCGAGAGCGAGCCTTCCAAGAGTTCGAGCTGAAAACCAAGAGCCGACGTCGCCGTCGCCGTCGTTATCGCCGTCGTCGTCTCCAGGACCGTCGCCGCCGCGGACGTCGCCGTCGCACTCGACGTCGCCGCCGTTGCCCTCGCTGGCGCCGCTGCCGCGGCCATCGCCGTCGCCGCTGGCGCCGCCGCCGTGTCGCTATCGCCATCGACGTCGCCGTCGTCGCCGTCGCCATCGCCGCCGCGGTCCCCGCCGCCGCCGCCCTCACCGTCGCCCTCGCTGGCGCCGTCGCCTTTGCCGTCGTTGTCGCCACCGCACTCGTCGTCGTTGTTGTCGTCGCTAGCTTTGCAAATGCCGTCACCGCCGTCGCCGCCGCAATCGTCGTCGTCGTCGTCGTCGTCGGCCTCGTCGTCGTCGTCGCCATCGCTTTCGCCCGCGGTCGTCGTCGTTGTCGTTTTCGTCGCCGTGGTCGTCGTCGTCGTCGTTGCCGTCGTCGTGGGCACCACCGTTGTCACGGTCGCCTTCACAATTGCCGCCGGTCTTTCCGTTGCCGACGCCGCGGTCTAGTCACGAGTATGTCCACGACTGCGCAAACAGTATATCGATGCTGCTTGAGGATAGTTCGCGCGCGTGTGTTTGTAATGCCACCAGCCCTCTGGGCTGAGGTGGTCTAGCGCACTTCCTCTTCCAACCCCGTTCTTCTCTTTTTTACAAGTTACCCCTCCCCCCCCACCCCCGCTGGGTCTGGACTGGGCGCTCCGCGAGGTGTTAGGGCGCCTAAGACGGCTCCAAGAGGTCCTCGGATAGCCCAAGGCGACATCCATCATGTTATTAGGAAATGCAAACTCGCTCAAGATGGCGTCCAGCATGCTTCTAATCACCACAAGGTCGCTCCAAGACGGTCTCAAATGGCCACGGAGCTTCCCAAGGACGCCCCCGAAAAGCCAACATCCTTACAAACTCAAAGGCGAACCAATAATGTTGACCCGCTGTCGTTTTCGCTCCCGATGGGCTCTAGAGCGCTCCAAGATGGCCACAAGGAACTACTGTTTGGCCTCAAGAGGAGCGCCGCTAAGTTCGCCCCCCCCCCCCCCCCTCCGATTCGCTCAAAGCCTAAGTGGTTGAACACAAACTGTTTATTCCACATATTTTGGCATCTCGGGGTCATCCATGGGAGGCTTTGGGGCCAGCATGTTTCCAAGATGGCTCCAGCTAGCCCCAGATTGCCCTGATGAGGGCACGGCATGGTACGGAACATCCCCAGGCCGCCCCTCGAAATCCAACTCCATTTGGCCATCGTGCACTTTCGCTTCCAAGATGATGCTGGGGCCTCAGCAGGATGGCCGAAGAGCCCCAAAAGGGGCCCAAGGTAGCTTAAAGTCGGCCCCAAGAGCGCTCCAGTAACGCCCCGAGAGACGATTATGACGGCTGCAGAGGGGCGGGGCTCGTCGAGGGCCTCCAGTAGGCACCAAGACGGCCCCAAGATACCCCCAAGATGGCCTCAAGAGACCAACACACGCTTCCCAAATGGCTCCATGATGGCACAGGGAAGCAACAAAGAGGCCCACATCGGACACCGTTTATGGTTGACTCCTGGGTCTGCTCAAGCAGATCCCGGATTTCGGTTTGGCGGTTGCTCCAATATTTGCTCTACGTGTCTACTGTTTGTTCCTGCACTTCTCTGGTCGATATAGCTCGTTTGTTGTCTCGCAACTGACTGTGCTGTTATCACCACGCACGCTTAGAAATGCCTTATACGTTTCCGTGCCCTGCTTTCCACGGACGCTCTAATTGCGCTGATGGCTGCGTCCCAAGCTGCAACTTCGGCATGGGACGCACCCGCGATGACACCGAGCAGCCTCGTCCCCACAACGTTGTTTTCTTTGACCAGTAATGCCAACACGAGGGCAATGGCCCCACGACCGTCGCTGGAGCCCGCGTCAGATAGAATCTGCAAGCCCGTCGAAGACGGTTTCGCCTGCGTCGCTGTATCCTCGCACGCGCTGTCACAATCCACGGCATTGGATCCCCGAGGCCTCCAATCCAAGGCGTCCATAAACAAACCTGTATACTCGACTTGGTGGTTGAAAGGGTAATGTGGGGGCGTTGGATACGGAATCATTGGATCAGGAACCCAGGGTCTGGAAGCCGGTGGGGCTCCAAGGATTGGGCATGGGTAACACAGCCGCCCCTTCATCAGGCAAGGCATCCTTCAGGGTCTGAGACCGCCTCGGCAAATTCTTCAACGAACGGCCGCACCACAACGCAAGCTCGTGCGGATGCGGCCCAACGGCTCCCGGCAGTACTCGTTCGTCACGGTGGTGATGCAGTTCCCCATGGCCGCCGATACTTTAATGTCGGCAACGAGTTCTAATGGGAGTTTGGGCGAAGTCTTTGACCAGAGGCGGTCCCTCGGTAAGACTGAAGGCTCCAATCTGTCGTTTTGCTCCTCTTGGTAGGCGGCGTGGCGGGCACTTCCTGCGACTCGGCATCGCGAACGTTTGGAAGACCCCCGGCAACGCATGCCTCACAGACAAAGTTTCTCCTGCCTTTCAAACATTGCTCGCAAGACTGTACGGCGTCCAAGCGTTTGCGCCACAGCTCGCCCCAAATCTCGAAACAATTCGTGTCCTCAATCGTCTGCTGTCATCCGTGCCTGTTAAGTCCGCGGGTGACCGGGTGCGCGTTAGGGCGTCTTTGAGCCAACTCCACCACTCCTGGCCGCGATCATCTCGAATATACGATGCAATACGACCCACCTTTTTCATTCCAAACGCATGTGTACACGCGTTCCACTAGGACCACATGGGGTCAATGCTTGAATGCGTGAAAACGCCTGTCCACTTGATGCGCTGTCCGTCGATTGAACTGCGTGCATCCGTCCCTTGGCCGCCGCTCCCTTGCATCCGTCCCTAGGATCGTTTATGGATGGGCTGGTGGGGATACGTGAAGCGTCAATCATGAACTCTGACTTGTCATGAATTACGAATCGCCCAACTCGCATAGAGTCAAACATTGATAACGATCTCGGGCGAGCTGCGGCGGGGCGCCGGTGTGATTGAGACGCAACTCGGCCGCGGCCGTGATTTCAGCGGGCGCCCTGCCGTCAGAAGGAGCCAACAGGCGCAACACTAGCTCCGCTTCAGCAGAGGGCTTGGGCTCAAATAGCTACGGACGGGGAGACATTCCCTCGGCGCTCCTGCCGCCGCTGCCGCACCGAAAGAAGCCCTGAAACCGAGGTGGGAAGCATGGGAGAAGAGCTGAGATAACGGCTTCATGTGTCATTGCACCTGGTTTCCTCCCTCGTCGCTCGCAAGTGCTCCCGCTCGTACGCGGCGCGTGTCCGTAGCCATGATGAGGTCACGCGCCGCCCTCTGGCGCGCGTGACAACAATTATCCTGGCGAAGGTCCCAGACATATGCAGTTGTGGGACCGTAATTGTGAAGATCTGCTTCGGTGAAGCTCCCTATGGAGCCACGAAGCGCTGCACTGGGCGGGGGGGAACGCTGTACTGTGTGGGTGGTGTGCCGAATTGGGTTTCCGGGACGCATGCGGACGGTTCCACTGAGGGCATCGGTGGAGCTCCCTATGGGGCCACGAAGCGCTCTACTGAGTGAGCGAAAATGCCTAATTGGGTTACCGGGACGCATGCGGACGGTCCCACTGGGGGCTTCGGTGGAGCCCCCTATGGGGCCACGAAGCGCTGCAGTGCGCGAGTGAAAATGCCAAATCCCACCAGCCCTTTAGGGCGTAGGTGGTTTAGGGAGTTTCCTCTGCCAACCCCCTTCTTCCCCTTCGGGGAGGGGTTTACCCCTCCCCTTACCCCTCCCCACTGACCTGGACGGGGCGTTCCGCGGGTCGTTGGGACGGCCAAGATGGCCCAAGACATCTCCAAGAGCGAAAAGGCGAGAAACACACAAAACATTGATTTTACCTAGGTTTTGGAAGGATTTTGGCCTCTCGGGGGGGCCCAAGAGGCGACTCGAGGCACTCTAGAGGGGCAACGCTAATATACGACCCCCCTTTTTTGATAGATCTCCTCCAAGATGGCCCCAAGAGCGCCCCGAAGGCTCCCAAGAGCGCCCCAAGAGCGCCCCAAGACGGCCCCACGAGGCCCCAAGAGGCCCCCAAGAAGCCTCCAAGAGGCTGCCAAGAGACCCCCAAGAGGCCCCAAGAGCCTCCCAAGATGGCCCAAGACGGCTCCAAGAGCGAAAAGGCGAGAAAGCAAAAAACATTGATTTTACATAGGTTTTGGAACGATTTTGGCCTCTTGGGGGGCCCAAGAGGCGACTCGAGGCACTCTAGAGGGGCAACGCTAATTGGGGACCCCCTCTTCTTTGATCGATCTCCTCCAAGATGGCCCCAAGAGCGCCCCGAAGGCTCCCAAGAGCGCCCCAAGAGCGCCCCAAGAGCGCTCCAAGAGGCCCCAAGAGGCGCCCAAGAGGCCTCCACAAGGCTCCCAAGAGACCCCCAAGAGGCCCAAGAGGCTCCCAAGACGGCCCAAGACGGCTCCAAGAGCGAAAAGGCGAGAAAACACAAAACATTGATTTTCCTTAGGTTTTGGAAAGATTTTGGCCTCTTGGGGGGCCCAAGAAGCGATTCGAGGCACTTTAGAGGGGCAGCGCTAATTGGGGACCCCCCCTTCTTTGATAGATCTCCTCTAAGATGGCCCCAAGAGCGCCTCGAAGGCTCCCAAGAGCGCCCCAAGAGCGCCCCAAGAGGGCCCCAAGAGGCCCCAAGAGGCCCCCAAGAGGCCTCCAAGATGCCTCCAAGAGACCCCCAAGAGGCCACAAGAGGCTCCCCGAGATACGCAAGAGGCCCCCGGGACCGCCAAGAGGCCCCAAAGACGGCCCAAGAGGCCCCCAAGCTCGCCATTGTCCTCCTCCTCCTCTTCTTTTTCTTCCTCCTCCCTCCTCCCCCTCCCCCTCCTCCTCCTCCTCCTCCTCCTCCTCCTCCTCCTCCTCCTTCTCCTTTTCCTCCTTCTCGTCCTCGCAGTTCTCCATATCCTCCTCCTTATCTTCCTCCTCCTCCTCCTCCTGCTCCTCCTCCTGCTCCTCCTCCTGCTCCTCCTCTTCCTCCTCCTACTCCTACGACGACGGCTCCTCCTACATCCTCCCCCTCTTGGGGTATATGGCGGCTCACCCCGCCCTTTGTTCTTCTGCATGCTCCCCCGCTTCCCTCATAACCTCCACTCCCCTGGGACTCATTTCTGGACGGGCTGGTGGGGATACGCGAAGCGTCTAGAATTACATTTCCCGGACGCAAACGGACGGTGGCACTGGGGCCTTGGGTGGAGCCCCCTATGGGGCCAAGAAGCGCTGCACTGGTATGCGAAAATGCCAAATTGGGCTTCCGGAACGCATGCGGACGGGGGCACTGGGGCCTTCGGTGTAGCTCCCTATGGGGCCACCAAGCGCTGTGCTGGGTGGGTGAAACGCAGGGAGGAGGGGGAGGAGGGCCACGAAACGCTGTACTGGGTGTGCGGGACGCATGCGGACGGTAGCACTGGGACCTTCGGTGGGGCTCCCTATGGGGCCACGAAACGCTGTACTGGGTGTGCGGGGCGCATGCGGACGGTAGCACTAGGACATTCGGTGGGGCTCCCTATGGGGCCACGAAGCGCTGTACTGGGTGGGTGCAAACGCAGGGAGGAGGGGGATGAGGGCCACAAAACGCCGTACTGGGTGTGTGCTGGGTGTGCGGGACGCATGCGGACGGTAGCACTGGGACCTTCGGCGGGGCTCCCTATGGAGCCGCGAATAGCTGCACTGCGCGGGTGAAAATGCCAAATTACATTTCCCGGACGCATGCGGACGGTGGCACTGGGGCCTTGGGTGGAGCCCCCTATGGGGCCACAAAACGCTGCACTGGGTGGGTGAAAATGCCAAAGTGGGCTTCCGGGACGCATGCGGACGGGGGCACTGGGGCCTTCGGTGGAGCTCCCTATGGGGCCACGAAGCGCTGTACTGGGTGTGCGGGACGCATGCGGACGGTAGCGCTGGGACCTTCGGTGGGGCTCCCTATGGGGCCACGAAACGCTGTACTGGGCGTGCGGGACGCAGGAGGGGGAGGAGGGCCACAAAACGCCGTACTGGGTGTGCGGGACGCATGCGGACGGTAGCACTGGGACCTTCGGTGGAGCTCCCTATGGGGCCACGGAGCGCTGTACTGGGTGTGCGGGGCGCATGCGGACGGCAGCACTGGGACCTTCGGTGGGGCTCCCTATGGGGCCACGGAACGCTGCACTGGGTGTGCGGGACGCTTGCGGACGGTAGCACTGGGACCTTCGGTGGGGCTCCCTATGGGGCTTCGAAGCGCTGTACTGGGTGGGTGAAACGCAGGGAGGAGGGGGAGGGCCACGAAACGCTGTGCTGGGTGTGCGGGACGCATGCGGACGGTAGCACTGGGACCTTCGGTGGAGCTCCCTATGGGGCCACGAAGCGCTGTACTGGGTGTGCGGGACGCATGCGGATGGTAGCACTGGGGCCTTGGGTGGAGCCCCCTATGGGGCCACGAAGCGCTGTGCTGGGTGTGCGGGACGCATGCGGACGGTAGCACTGGGACCTTCGGTGAGGCTCCCTATGGGGCTTCGAAGCGCTGTACTGGGTGGGTGAAACGCAGGGAGGAGGGGGAGGAGGGCCACGAAATACTGTACTGGGTGTGCGGGACGCATGCGGACGGTGGAGGAGGAGGGGGAATAGGAGGAGAAAAGGAGAACGCGGGGACCGTCTGCAAAACGAGGACCCCACACCACAAAATGGTCGGGGGAAAAATGTGTGCATTCAGTAATCGCGCCTACCAAACGGAAAGTTGATGTCTGAACTCAGGGGGATTGTTTTGGCCACGGCGAGCCTCGGCTTCGAATGACCCGACCTGGATCCAAGGAACGGCCCGCAAACCACAACCCCTCCTGAGACCGAAGCGCCGAAAAGGTCCTTGTTTCCGCGCCTTGACTTCGCACTCACTGCGCACATGTCGCTGCACGGACAAACAGTTTCGAGCATTTGCTCCGTCGTCAGCGCAATGCACCTGGGCTGGCATTACAAAACAGTGCTAAGTTCCGTGGTGCACCTGGAAAGATGCGAGGTGAACTTCCTCTTTGCATGTTGAATGTGTTCTGCTGGATGGGCGGATGCATGTAGGCACGTCGCTAAGAACCACGTCGCTGTGGATCGCCAATGCTAAACAAGAAACTACGTTACCCGTCTCGTCTTCCCCCCGACTCCCCTCTCTCGCTGTACACCCCTTCTCCCTCATCTCCTTTGCACCACAACACCGCCCCCCTCTCCTCCTCCACCCCCTTCGCAGCCAAAGGGTACCTGTCCATACCATGCACAGACAACGTCCTGCAGCAGAAAGGGAAGCCTCCTCCTCCTCCGTGCCCACACCTCCTGCTCCTCCCGCCTTGCCCTCTGCAGCCAGCGTTCCCCCCTTCCTCGGAGAGCCCCCCTCTGCTGCGACTGCGGCGCGGAGCGGCGGGACCTTGGACGAGAGGGAGTACTTGATGTCGCAGGCATCGACAAAGTCCCTGCCGAGCTCGTAGGCAGCCTCCGCTGGGGAGAGGCAAGAGGCGGGGCAACCGGGGGGGGGGGCGGGAGAGAGAGGGAGCCGAGGAGAATGCGGAGGAAGATCGGGGGGGGGGGGGGCGATGAAGAGGAGGAGAGGAAGAGGAAGAGGAAGAGAGGAAGAGGGAAGAGCGGATGATACGGGAAGAGGAAGAGAGGAGGGGAAGTAACAGGAGTAGGGCGAGGAGGAGGGCTGATGATGATGGAGGAGTTGGAGAAACGGGGAGGTAGGAGGACGAGGAGGAGGAGAAAGAGGAGGAGGAGGAGGAGGAGGAGGAAGGGGAAGAGGAGTAGGAGAAGGAGGATGAGGAAGAGGGGGGAAGAGGAGGACCAAGAGAAAGATAATAACGGGTCGCGTGTAATTATCCAGGCGAAGGTCCCAACCATATGCAGTTGTAGGTACCGTAATTGTGAATACCTGCTTCGGTGAAGCTCCTTTTGGGGCCACGAAACGATGCACTGGTCGGGGGGGGACGCTGTACTGTGTGGGTGGTGTGCCGAATTGTGTTTCCAGGACGCACGCGGATTGTCCCACTGAGGGCTTCGGTGGAGCTCCCTATGGGGCCACGTAGCGCTCTACTGAGTGAGTGAAAATGCCAAACTGGGCTTCCAGGACGCATGCGGACGGTCCCACTGGGGGCTTCGGTGGAGCCCCCTATGGGGCCACGAAGCGCTGCAGTGCGCGAGTGAAAATGCCAAATTACATTTCCCGGACGCAAACGGACGGTGGCACTGGGGCCTTGGGTGGAGCCTCCTATGGGGCCAAGAAGCGCTGCACTGGGTGGGCAAAAATGTAAATTGGGCTTCCGGGACGCATGCGGACGGGGCACTGGGGCCTTCGGTGGAGCTCCCTATGGGGCCACGAAGCGCTGTACTGGGTGTACGGGACGCATGCGGATGGTAGCGCTGGGACCTTCGGTGGGCCACGAAGCGCTGTACTGGGCGTGCGGGACGCATGCGGACGGTAGCACTGGGACCTTCGGTGGGGCCCCCTATGGGGCCGCGAAGCGCTGTACTGGGTGGGCGAAACGCAGGGAGGAAGGGGAGGAGGGCCACGAAACGCTGTACTGGGTGTGCGGGACGCATGCGGACGGCAGCACTGGGACCTTCGGTGGAGCTCCATATGGGGCCACGAAGCGCTGTACTGGGTTTGCGGGACGCATGCGGACGGTAGCACTGGGACCTTCGGTGGGGCTCCCTATGGGGCCACGAAACGCTGTACTGGGTGTGCGGGACGCATGCCGACGGTAGCACTGGGACCTTCGGTGGGGCTCCCTATGGGGCCGCGAAGACCTGTACTGGGTGGATGAAACGCAGGGGGGAGGGGGAAGAGGGTCCCGAAACGCTGTACTGGGTGTGCGGGACGCATGCGGACGGTAGCACTGGGACCCTCGGTGGGGCTCCCTATGGGGCCGCGAAACGGTGTACTGGGTGGGTGAAACGCAGGGAGGAGGGGGAAGAGGGCCACAAAACGCTGTACTGGGTGTGCGGGACGCATGCGGACGGTGGAGGAGGGGGAAGAGGAGGAGTGAAGGAGAACGCGGGGACCGTCTCTTCAAAACGAGGACACAACACGACAGGATGGTTGGGAAAAAATTCGGTCAGATGTCAGATGCGGGTGTAAAAAGTAAAATGTGTGCGATTGCTGTGCATCAATTGCGGCAACAAGTGAAATCCAATGCAAAGACTGCATTCGGCAACTGTGCATCGGTCGATGCAATATGTGAATGCGATGTTGAATCGTTTTTGCCACCAACGTGCACTGAAAACGTTCCATCGAGAACGGCGGACCAGCCGCATGCTCGTCCGCGTGATGGCGCACCAGGGGCTCCCGTCAGAAGTTCGCATTCGCAATTCGACAACCCTGCATGTCGATCTCGCATCTTCGCCCGTGTGCGAGATCCGTGCTGGAAGGTCAGGTTCATGGTCAGAGACGCCCGTGCGTGCGAGCTCACATGCTCGCCTGCGCGTTAGGACCCGGATGAGGAACATGCACCTCGTGCCCGCCCTCCCCCGCACCCTCCAAACCCGCCAGGCAAAGGTGAACTCGCGGCCCGTGGGCCGAGTCGTTTCCACCCAGCATGGCATGTCCTTGGGGGAGGGGGAGGTATGGCGGGAAGGACAAGAGGAGAAGGAGTATGATCGACAGCAGGGCTGTCAACCAGCAGACGAAGCAGCTCTTACTGGCACAGTCCACCTTCCAGACATCACGGCCGAATGGCATGCCACTGCCACGACCACCAATGACGCAAGCCATCAGAACGGACACAAGTACGCCCGGTAGCAAGGTCTACCCAGTCGTCACGACATGCACAACACTGCGCCCCGACTGGACTGCCATCGAGGACCAGAATGAGGACGACGAGTACTACCCGGGCTACGACATCAAGACGGACGCTGGCCCACCGAGAAGTTCGACGAACGGCCGCACTTGACTCCAGCCCACGGACACCGCACTTGGAGCGGACAACCCACCCCATTGTGGCTCTACCCTCCAGGTCAGAGCGGCACCACCTATCCTTCCCCTCCCCGCGACCAACGGGTAAAGGCCAATACCATCCTCATGCCGAGGGGGGACCTGCCGCACAGAGGCCTGTCATTGCGTCGCAACTCCCCCAACGTGCCAATACTGCTACCTTACGACCGCGGATTCCTAGCCGTTCTTGCTCAGGTTGCGCCACGCGCCACCAACTGTCCCATGATCCACTCCCGACCTCTGCGCTAGCCTTTTGGCCAAGCCGCCGCACTGACTGTCGCGGCAGCAGCAGCAGCAGCAACAGCAGCAGCAGCAGCAGCAACAGCAGCAGCAGCAGCTGGACTCTTCCCTCCCACGGCACACAACACGCGACCACTCATGCCCCCAGATGGCGGCAACGCAGGCAAACGGCGACAACGGAAACCTCATGAGGCGCGAATGCAAGGCGCCCGCGGTGCCGTAGGGCTTCCTCACCCACACGCATCCGACGTGCCACATGCACCCACGGCGGCTACATCTTCAATAGGCTACGCTGTGCAGTGGGTCCACGGCCAGTCAAGGCTCCCAAACCCGCCATGGTTTCACCCACGTATGCGGTTCATTCGACGCAGTGCGAACATGTAAATCGCATTGGCCGCATGGGTAGAACAACATATTTCCAAAACCGGTGGATCGAGCTCTCTCGTGCAACTCAAGACCTTGACCAGCAGCCTCGAGCTGGTTCCACGAAGGCGGCAATCACGAAAAGCCAACTTTCCATCGGTCCTGAGAGAGCCCCCCACCCAACCTTCACCCCCTTTCTGGCTCCACCTGCACCTGCATGCCCCGCTTCCCCCACCGCTCACCCACCCAACTTTCTCCTTCCCGCTTGTGTCGCGGCGGAACGTGCGAGGTGGATCATTGCGGGAGGACGGGCCAAAGGGGGCCTCACCGCTGGCCGCCCTGGCAATGACTAGGGCAGCCGCGGCGCAGCGCCACCGCCGCCGAGCCTCCACGGGCCGGGCCCAGGCAGCCCAACCACCTCGCTCAGCATCGCCTGTTGGACCCGCGCCCGCGCCGCCAACTTCAAAGCCTGCCCCGCTGTGTTCGCTGCCTCTGATCTCCCAGCACCGCCTGCTTGCGCGCTCGCGGCCGCGGCAGTCTCGAACGAGCACCGCTCTCGCGCCTGCGCCCGGCATTCGCAGTCGCAAAGCAGCGGGCTCCAGCCACGCATGCGCTTCTCCAATGCACCGCTGCGCCTGGGCGCCGCCGGCCGCTCTGGCATCGGCCGCGGCGGCCGCGGCTAGCCGCCCTGTCTCGCCATGCCGCCGCTATGCGAGGGGGGCGTATCGGAGCGGGGTGGAGGGGGCTTGCCTACGCGGCCGCCGCCTCTTGATGGCGCGGACCTCCAACCGCCCGGTGGGCAACCCTGAGGGGCCCCAGGCCCGGCCCCGGGCACCCTTCGCCTGCCTCGGCAGGTCAGGGTGCCGGGGCTCCGCCCCCCCTCGCTTCGTTTCCCTCTGGGAGGTGGGAGAGGCCCTTCCGCCGCCCTGCCTTGGCGCGCGTGGCCGCCGCGCACGCCCGCGCCCCCCGATCGCTCTCGCCACCCGTCACTGCCCTCTCGCGCCCAAACCTCTCAACTTTGCAGCCTGCCCCGCTCCGCTCAGTTCCTCGGCTCGCCGCAGCGATGCTCAGCTACCCCTGTCTAGTTGCAGCGCGTCGCTTTCAACAGCAGATGCCGCGCAGCGCCCGCCGTAGAGGGGCGCGCCAGCGGATCGGGAAGGCCGCGAGTTGCCGCTTCGGCCCCCCAAGCGCTGGCCAAAGTGGCAGCCGTTGCCGCCTCAGCCGCTAAAGAAGGATTGGGGGGGGCGCTGATGTAGATGGGCGGGCGGAGCAGGCAGCGGCAGGTCATGGCTGGGGGCCCTGCCGCCAGCTGCGAAATACCGCGAGCTGCGCCCGCCTGCGCGCGCCGACCTGCGGCAACGCCAAGGCCAAGGCCTGCGCGGGGGGCGCGGGGCAGCGCCGCCCGCCTGCGCGGCCCTGCCCAAAACTGCTGAACGGCAGATGGGGCGACAAAAAAGCTCACCGCAGGCTCGCTCCTCAGGGCTGCCGGCTGCCGCGCCGCGAAAGGATGCGCATCGCGGTGACCGCCCCGATCCCCGCCGCTCGCCCGGGACAGGTCGGGGGTCGGGGGCGCGGGAGGTGCCCTGGGAAGTGCCCAGAATAAAGGCGGGGACAAGGGGCAAGGGTAGGGACGATCGCGACAAGGAGAGCGGAGGCGAGGGCAGGAACTGGGGTGGGAACGGGGGCAGGGGCGGGCGAAAACAAGGGCGAGAACGAAGGCGAGAAGGAGGGCAGGAACGACGACGCGGACGAAGGCGAGAAAGAGGGCGGGAACGAAGGCGGGGGCGAAGGCGGGAACGAGGGCGCGAGGGAGATAAAGGAGGCGGGAGTGAGGGCGGGAGCGAGGGCGGGAGCGACGGCGAGGACGAGGGAGAACGAGGGCGAAAATGAGGGCGGGAACGAGG